AGAACGTCGAATCTGAATCACTTGAAAAAAACACGGGGGTGCTTAACTTTTTTCCAGGTGTATATATAAAGAAACGGAAAGGAAAATAAAAAATAAACTATAAGTGAAAATGTAAAGACATGAAATTACACATATGACCCAAAGAAGATATTTTATTATTATTCAATGAAGAGACAAAAGATATGTACATATTTCTATTCCTTAATTTTAAATATTTCATTGCACTGTGTGTTGATGATAATAACTAGAGGTAGTGATATTGTAGAGAAAATGGAAAATAAAATATAAACATTTACCTTAAAAAACTTTTGATATTCTTTTATGAGGTTCTAAAGATTATCCAAATGAAATGGTAAAACTGTAAAGTAAAAAGTAGCATATTTATACTTCATATAAAAATAACCTTCCAAGTGAACTATTCAGAGACTGAGCACAAATAACTACATTAAATAATGAATTTTGGGTAGAAATGATAGAAAAAAATCGATATTAAATATTATATTTTTCTCAAACTACATACTTTTATGAAAGTTCTTGTTAAGTTTTAAACAAGGTTATCCACTAGTTATATTATTGGAAAGAAATTTAACGAGAGTTAAGTAACGTGCTTCAGTCTAAAGTACATTATTGTTACCGGTCTAGGTGTTTACAAAACTGTATAGTGAAATATATATATGTATAAATAACTTCTAAGTTAGATGATCCAGTGAAAAACCTTTTTTAATGTTTTAAATCACAGCAAGAATTGGCATGACTTTTGCTAATCTCTGAGTAGTTTTGATTTTTGAAGTTACTTTTCTATCCAAAAAATATCCTATAATAAAAATCCTTTTTTTTCTATTCATTTTAATCAATTACAGCAATGATGATTAATGTACAGAGCACAGATAGCTACTTTTAAATGCATGTTTAATTGTGTTTAGATAATAGCATTTGAAATTAACATCAATCATCTGTTCCAAGACCAGCAGATATGGCAGTTTTTGAAGCAGGAATGAAATCTAAATATCTAAAGTTTTGTACGCTCAATTTGGTCTGTCTCTTTGTGCCTGAATTTCTTGTTTTTGGTATTGAATTGGGTCATGGTTCTGAGGCACAGTGTTCAAAGTGGGCTCCTGGAGGTAGTGGTACTCATTTTGTGAATGTTTATAATGACTTTTTGACTGTTCTTTTCCAGTAGTGACTATGCATGTTCATGGGGTTCTTGAAGGATACTTGACATTTCTTGAAAGGGTTTTAAAATGTATTATTGTAGTGGTATGTCATAGTACAATGTATGGAGTGACACTAAGAAAATCTCCCCTTGAAGCCTGAAGTGTCATGTGAAAAACTAAGAAAATCTCCCCTTGAAGCCTGAAGCGTCATGTGAAAACACAAAGAAAATCTCACCTTGAAGCCTGAAGCGTCATGTAAAAACACTAAGAAAATCTCACCTTGAAGCCTGAAGCATCGTGTGAAAACACTAAGAAAATCTCACCTTGAAGCCTGAAGCATCGTGTGAAAACACTAAGAAAATCTCCCCTTGAAGCCCGAAGCTTTATGTGAAAACACTAAGAAAATCTCCCCTTGAAGCCTGAAGCATCATGTGAAAACACCAAGAAAATCTCCCCTTGAAGCCTGAAGCGTCAAGTGAAAACACTAAGAAAATCTCCCCTTGAAGCCTGAAGCGTCACATGAAAACACTAAGAAAATCTCCCCTTGAAGCCTGAAGCGTCACGTAAAACTCCCAACCAATTTCACTTGACAATGTTTTTATGTCTTTAGAAAATTTCTTTACACAATTGAATAGGCATTTTAATTTATATGTATGCTTTCTCATGTTAGGGTCTAAAGGGAAAACATAAGTTATTATCATACACATATCACATAGTTTAGTAAAGTATTAAGTAGTTTATTCAGTACATTTATTGGTACATGAAAAAATGTGATCATATACATTTGGAAGATATAGAAAGTTGGTTAAAAATTCCTCATAAACCTGTTCTTTTTTTTAGTATGTAAAGATGCTTTTTTTATAAGCACAAGGATAAAAAAAAATTGTAATTATATTATTACACATTTGACCATCAAATGTAAATTTTTTATAGTATTTGAAAAATGTAAGCATTAATTACTCTGCACTTCCAGAACATCTGTACTTAGAGTACTGTGATATATTTGTGAAAATATTTTTTCTTAAATAGTAGAAGGTGTCTATAAAATAAAGGCTTGTAAACAGAGTAGTAGTAGTAATTGTTTGAGAATTTTTTGGGTACCACTCATGAGTAATCTAGAATAAAGTTTATCATTGTATAAGTGTTTTGTGTTACTGCTTATTTATTCAGATACCATTTAGTTCCTTTCTGTGACTCATTCATGTGTTTAATAATATAGTTGATATTGGATCATAATTTGATTTTAGCAATACATTGATGTTTTTGTTATATAACCAGAGTTACTGTTGTGTGTTTGATATAGAAAATTGTATGTAAAAATGCATACTGCGTTTTAAATGTTTGGATTTTCTTTAATAAATCTTCAAGTTTTGTTACTTAGCAAGTCTGGAAATTATCAGTATCAAACAAATTGTATTAAAAACACATTTGACTGGAGCTTGTGATAGGTGAATATAAAAAAGTATAAGTAATTTCAGTGTGATATCCAGTGATGTAGATGAGTCAGGATGAGTTTTGATCTTTTGAGGCTGGGTTTGTTTTCCAAGATTGGACATGTCTTGACAATTTTTTGTGATTTCTATTGTCAGTAATTGTTAGATAAAATATATTTATTATTTATTTAAATGTGCATAAACAAATGAACTATAGAGAAAATCCTGAACAAAAAATTCTTCTCCTGTTCCATTCACTTAAAAATTGTTTGATCTAAGTTTTGTTATTTCAATCTGAAACGTAAATCTTTAAATATTATATAGGCCAGGTACTTTTTCACCTAGGGCAAGAGATTTGTGCTATCTGTATTAGTACAGAATTGCTAGTTTTGTAATGTGATAGTTCTGGTTAATATACAAACAGCTCAAGCCATGTTTTTCTGAAATTGTTTCAGAGCTATCAGAAGTACTATGGACAATGGTAATGAAAATTGGATTTGTAGTTCCAACATGGCCAGGAGGAATAATCTTGTACCTCATTTTTGCCTTTTGGGCTGGTTTGACCATTGGAGTCTTATTGATCATGGAAGGACTGTCAGCATTTCTACATGCTCTTCGTCTTCACTGGTAAGAAAATGATGCGTTAAATTTAATTTCTAAAAGACGTGTTATAGGATTTTCCAAATCCTTTGTTTTCTTGTATAGGCTAGTACTATGTGGTATCTTAAATTATGTATACATGTATTACTTGATTTTATTAGTTGTTAATTAGGTTGATTGACCAAGAAGTCATTGTAACAGAATCAAAAATGTTTCATCAAAGTTTATGTTAATTCTTGTATTATTAAGCTTAGTAGAATGTTGTTGTTTTTTTGTGGTTAAATATAACAAAAATAAAAATGGTAAGACATCCTGCTTTGTCAGAGTTCTTAAAGACAAAGAAATGTCATATAAAAATGAGTAATCCTGAAAAAAAAAACCTGTGGAAGCAATAAAATGAATAATATGTGCATTAATTAATGAATTTTTTGCTACAATAAGATCACTGTCATGAGAAGAATAAATTGGTTTTTGATTAAGTCTTATTTGGAGCCCATAATGATATTTTTCCACTTATTTTTAGCACTAATGAATAAATATTCTAAGCAGCTGTATTCTCTTCTCCTATAGATAATTCAAGAAAATTCTCTAAAATGTAGAGATCTTGTGCAACTATTGCCCTAAATATGTGAAAAATTTGTAGGGTCCTTCAGATAATATTTTTTGATCAAGAAAAATAATTACATATATATTTACTTTTAATTTTTGCTTTATGCATGCCGAACAAGATGAAAGCAAGCAAATTACAGTATTAAAAATTGGACGATCTTACAGCTGTGAGAAGTGGTATTGTTGGACACTGTGGGTTTAAGTCTGGCATTTTATATTACTTTTTATATTTTTTATCAATGTTGAGCATACCTTAATTTTGTTTAAAATTGTTTTTAAATCCATTATTCATTATAAACTGTTGTAAACAACTTCTATTGAGCAACATTGGTTGGGTAAGAATAAATATGTTGTGTGAGTTTATATTATTGTATATAGTTCAAGCTCTAATTCTTAAAATTTTGAAAAAATTATGTTATTTAAAATTAGTGGTGTAAAAATAAATTTTCAGCTGGAAATAAGAAATTAGTTTTTTTTTAGTTAATTTTAACCAGTTAATAAGACTTTGAAAGCTACACTAAACATATTCTCCAAATTCTCAGCATTTGTTTTGTTGTTATTATTATAATTAATTTTTTTCATACATCAAACTCTATTTATACATATTAATTTCCATGAGGTTTTTCTGATTGGTTAATTGATGCTGCCAAATGAGGAATGAGATTTTCTGGCTAACCTAAGATATCTTCACTATTTAGTTATATGAAGTTGAATGTATTAAAAGAATTAAGTCACAGCTTAAAAAAAAAAGTCAGTCTAGGTTGATGGGAAAACGAAACGTTTCTCCAAATAATAATAACCATGTATCAATGGAGTAAAAAAATAGGTTTCTAAATTGTTTTTCAACTTGAAATATTGAAAAACTTAGATTTTATAGTACTACAAGAACCTGATGCACAGATTCACTGTTGCTTGTGTGGTACATTGTGGAAGATCATTGACACAGTTGATATGTCTCCCAGAATATTTATAAGAGCTTACAATTTAACTACCTAGCAGTGTATTTTTATTTATTTCAGAGATGTAGTATTGCCCTATTTGATTGTTTTTCTAGGTATCTGTAAGAACTAGAAAAATAGATCAGTGTCTACCTAGAAAAAATAATATAAAAAATAATAGGTATCTACAAGAACTAGCAAAATATAAAGATTAGTGTCCACCTCACAAAATTTCTACAAGTAATTGACTGCGTGTCCCATTCTTCCCAAGCATTTTTTGATTTAATTAGTATTAAAAGCTTAAGTTTGTTTTATTTACTAGTCAACAGCAAGCATTATCTTTTAACTGTACAATATTTAGAAAAAAAACAATACTTAGCTGAGGTTATGTTGACCTGTCATGTATTATAGGGTGGAGTTCCAGAGCAAGTTTTATGGAGGAACAGGATACATGTTTTCTCCTTTCTCTTTTGAAACTATTTTGGAATTGGCAAGTACTGAAGACAAATGAAGATGAGGAGCTTCTCCATCTAATGTATTTTCCAAATTTTTGTCATGTATCTTTGATGTTAAATATTGTGTTTTAGTATTTAAAATACATTAGTTAGAAAAATGATTTTGATGAAAAAATGAACTGTGAAAATAGTGGGGAAGAGAATACACAAAGTTGTGGAGTTTAAATTTTTTTTAAATTTGTAAAAATTGTCACAGGAATCAGCACAGCATCTTTTACTATTGAACCTAGGATTGTCAACAGGGATGGGGGAATTCTGGAAATCAGTGATTTGGGGTTATTTTGATAGATCTTGATGAATGAAGCTCGGCACAACTTCTAAAATGGAAAAAAAAAACAAACTAAATATTATTAAAAATGTGACATAATTAAATCTATATGGATTAAACTGTGGTGATACCATACTGGGGATTATACCATCCTTCTTATATTTACTTTTCATTGCAGAAATGGAATTTTTAATTTCAGAATTTCTAGGGAAATCATTTTATAATACATCTACTTCAACTCCAACATGGCATCTTTGGGTGTTACTAGCTATTATGTTTGCAAAACATTGAAACTATTGATTTCTTATGAATGATTCTAATCCCCCTTTTTGAAGTTAATGATACCATTGTGCCTGTTTTTTATTTATGTTTTGCTGTCAATGCAGTAATTAATTGCTGAATCTCTGATTCAACTGGTATGTCAAATTGATTGGAATATGTTCTTCCTTCATTCGACCTGGACCCACGATTTAGCTTACTCGTTCGTAAATCATCACATTCACAACCACGTATAGAACATTTCAAGTATGTTTCATTTCTATATTATTTTACTTTACATTTATAAGTTTACTACTTCACGTTGGTTCTCATTGTCTCAGGTCAGGTCACGAGTCCAGTCACAGGTCTGGTCCAGCAACCTAGATCTTGAAAATAGTGCCAAACATCATCTTTTTGTCTAATCAAAACAACCCAAAACTTTCCAGAATTACTCATTTTTTTGATGCACATCAAGATGCTGGGCTGGCTCATGTGATATGTATTAAAACTGTAATGGGAAGATGTACACGACACTTGATTAACCTACTTGAAATATAGTGATAAGATATACACAAGATTAGTTTGTTTTAAACTATTACAAGGTTAGTGAAAAGTTATACCAGATCCTTTGGTTTGAATATAATTATTTGTTAATGCAATCAATGAGGTGAGATATGCTGTATTTAGTTTCAGAATGTGTAAGTTATTTTCCTTTTGTATGGGTTGCCAGTAATAAATGTCAAAAAATGAACATTTATATGCTGTGTTTTGTTGAATTTGAAATTGCAAGTTGAGAGACAAAACTTGTTGTTTTATGAATTTAGTTCATAAGAAGCCTAGTCACTTTGTTTCTTTAACTTTTAAAATTTTTTGAATTTTTATTTGTTTTATGTTATCGCATTTTTTAAAGCATTTATTAATTAAGATTTTGAGGTAAATACTCTATATAGATTTTAAAAGGTGTGGTAGATTGGTTTACACGATACTCCAGATTTGATTAATTTTTCCTTGTTATTAATAGCCTTTCAGTGTCTTGCAGAGTGCTTTCCCTGGGAGGAAGTTTATTTTGAGGTTCTGTTTCTATACAATTTGGGTTTAGTTAAAATAACTAGTGTGTGGCAGTGCATTTATTTCTCATTCTTTTGTTTGTTAGTAAATAGATAAGGATGACCTGGCTGCTCCATAACTCTCAGTGTAGGTTATTCAATTACTGAATTCCAACGGAACAGATAAGAATACTTATTGGAAGAGGAAATACCATGAAAAAAGAAATAATAATTTGAGTACAGTACAAAAACCAGTACTAGAAATGATACTAAGCAGTGTTAATACAGCTGGTCTGGGTTCTTGTGACAACTTTTGCCTTTCTTTTCTGTTGCATTTCTTTGTTTTAAAATTTCTATAAAATAATAAACTTTATGTAATTTGAAACTTTTTTTGCAATAGTCATTAGTTAAAGTATTGTAATTAGTGTTATTTAACCTAATGTGACTTCATACCAAGATGTGATCAGTGCTTTGTTTATTCGTGGCATAACCAGAAAAATGTGTATTGTGTTCAGATAAGAACACCAAGTAGTTTTCGATCATCTTGTACCTAAGTATGATGTTATTGTTGAATAAGGTTTTCATTTTATGAGTTAAGTAATTTAGCTTCTTAGTAGTTTTATGAAAAAACATTTATTAGAAATATTTGACTGCTTTTCCTCTGTGTTGTCCCATGTAAAATAACTGATTGCAATATTCATATCAAGTGTAACATTCAAATAGTTGCATTTTGAAAATAAAGTGTTTGTGTAGCATTATATGAAGTCTGTATGAATTTTTGAAACAAAATCTGTTGACATTTTAGAAAATTTCAGTTGAATATTTTATACTGTTTTACATTATATTTATTATAGTTATTGAAAAGTTTGAACTTAAAAATTCATTATTAGAATGTGTTTGTAATGCATATATAATAATTAACTGTATATAAACGTGCATACATCTATCAGTAGTGTTTTTGGTAAAAGCTTTACTTGCACACTGTATACCATATCATTTGCTTTAATAGAAATTGTTTGCTTAAATTGCATAATTGGTTGATTACCATTAGTATGATAAGTAATTAGATAATATAGAACAAATAAAATAATTCCATTTATTATACATAATGTTTAAAAACTTCAAGGAAAACATTATTAATTACAATATTGGGGTCATTCATGTTCTTTGAATTAATTTGGATATGACATTTGAAACCATGTATCTATAAGTTTTTAAACTTGTATTCTGCATGTACTACTGTCAAGGAATACATATCCTGTGTAAAGTAACTCCTACTGAAAATCGAAAATAGTGAAATTCCATGCGTCATGAAATATATATTTATAATACAAAACAAATCTTAAAAGAAATATAATACTGCATAACCAAATTAAATTAACCAGGGTACAGGCTATAATGTTGGATATACAATGCATCCTGGCCTTTGGAGGTGATTGTGGAAATAGGACCTACATAGCAGTGTGGATACTTCGTCTATCAGTCTTAACCTACATTCGGAAAGCTTCACATGTAATGCTTACATATGTCACAAAGTGGCAAATACATACTTGAAATGAACTTACGTCATATTTCTATACAACAAAAACTGGTACATTTCTAACCCTAAAAGCCCCTTTCCTTTAGATTTGATGTGCAAGGCATGGGTTCAAATCTTGTAACTGAACATGCTTGTCTGTCTAGCCATCTGGGCAATACAAATTTTACATTCATGGACATTGCCTGACAAGGCAAGTAGGATCAGTGTAATTACCAGTAAAGGTTTTTATCCTTGATCTCGTTTGGCATTTTAAGAGAAAATAAATAAACTGGTAGTGGTTCAGCTGAATCTTTACAGCATGCTAATGTAGTGTCATCTGGAGTTGATGAATCTCTCTTTAAATGTGTTTAGTTCAAGAAAACGAGATATATGCACCAAAAAATACAGCTTTTGCCCTATATGTTATGCTTTGTGCATGTTACTCTGAAAGTAAAAGCTCACTGCATTTCGAGACCTATTATCAAAATGCACCATGTTAACTACAGCTGAGCTTTGGTAAGTGATTTTAGAGAGAGAAAGGGAAATACTGTTGCTTATGTTTGTGCGATCTCTCACAGAAAGCAACTTTGAACTGTATATTGGCAATGTGAGAAAGATGACTATGGTTATTCTCTATAAATCACACAAATTATACCAGTTGGTTGCCTGTTCTCATTCTTGTCATGACATCCTTAAGAAAGAAATATCCAGACGTGCACCTAAGTTTCAGGAATTTATTGGCCTAGAACACGAGAAAACAAACTGGTGAAAGACATTGGGCACATAATTGTACTGACAGGTAATGATAGTGCATTAAACTACTGGTTGATTGCGGGTTAAAAATAAGACTTTCCAAGATCGTCAATGTGATATTTGGTCAACACAGTCCAATAGTCCTAAAAATACAGTAAGTATACTGCATCCTTTCAGAAACAATAAGCCTATTGTTACATGTCTGCTTGTTTGATAATTTCCGGTAAAAATTCTTTCCGAGAAACTTCAGCAATACAAGTCCCTTCTTGATTAAAACTAGTTTATTCTTTCTCGATACAAACTTTGTAATACACTTAACTTTTATAATACATGCTATAAATCACAGTGACTCACATACTTTACTTACAGTGCCTACTGTTCGCTTGACTCAATTATCTATCTATCTCTTCGATTTATCTGCCTATGTCGCTGGCTTTCTTTGGCAGGCTTATATACTAAAACAGAGGGCGTCTAGCAAACACTCGGACATTCGCGGGATTCCCCATAATTCTAGAAACTCTAGCGCGCAAAGAATTGAAACATTGCTGGCTTGTTCCTGTTGGCTAATTTTTTTGTGACATAGACATAGAAATGATCTTAAGCTAAATTCTTAAATTTTTACAACTCATCCATACCAGACTTTGGAACTATATTTCAAATGTAAAATGTAATCAGATAATTTGATTCTTCTGCAAAGGAATTTAAAATATCATCAAATACTTTTATTAAAGAATATACATCGATATGTTTCTAGTCGGTTCTTTGACCAGCTGGTGAAGAAAACCATCTTGCACAGTTTCCAAAATTCTTTGTCCCTCATTGTTTGACTCTCACATTTCCCAATATGTATGCTTCAAATTAAAATCACTCATAATTATCACCTCATTAACAGCTGAAACCCTAATTTCACTGTATTATCTGGTGGTCTGTAACAAATTCCCACTAAAAGTATTTTCCTTTTATAACCGTTAACAGAAACTCAAATGGATTCAATTTCCTTGTGTTATTTTAGACTTATTATTAACTTCTAATGTAGAAATGTTTGTGAGGGTGGAAATTGGGGAACATCCGGGTGCAAGTGATCATTGATATATTAGGTTCGATGTTTTACTGAATATGGGAATCAGGAATAATGATTTTTAGTTACAAAATTCAAAAAGCAAATTTTGAAGGAATGTGACAAGAATTATTTCGTGAATTGGGCAGCCGAGTTACTTGGAGACACTGATCAAATGAAGAAACTTTTATAGATGAATTTTAATAATTCAAGATAGACATATTTCTTATAGGAAGAAAATGGTGGCTGCAAGCAAAAAAAAAATAGGTTGGCTCACAAAAGATAAAATTAAAGAAGAGCATCGCAAACATAATAAGTTTAAATTGACTGGTATGATGGGAGAATTGGAAGATCGAGAAAGCTGGTAAAACAGGGAATTAGTCTGTTGTAATAGCTGTAGATATCGGATGTGATTCTCTGGGATATAGTGCACAATACTGCACTAATACTCTGGCAGATGTTAGCACAAGAAAATAATTGTGTTGTTAATGTTGATGTTAGAGAAATAGGCAGTCAGCCCTAAATGGAAAAATCTGGTTTGAAAAGAGACAGTTATATAGATTAAAGGTAAACTAGAAACTTTAAGAAATAAAGTGACTGAAGTTGTGGCATGTACAATCAAGTAGCATCTTGTTTAAACGAGCTTATTTCTTGTTTTAGAATGTATTAAAATAATATGCAATTGATAACAATAATTAAAAACTACTAACGTAAAACTACTGAGCTGTGTATTTGATTTGTAATTATAAATCTGAAGTTTTAGATATGGATATATGTTCCTTTTTAAGTGTTAAGCTACACAGTGACATATCTACATTCTGATAATATCAAAAATTTTGTTTAAATGTTTAGCTTTACCAGTTTCCAAACTAAGTGCTGTGCCTTAAAAGGATTGTAAACTGAAAACGGAACTAAATGTTTATATTGGCAACATTGTGTTAGTCTCCGTTTGTTAATTAACTTTCCGTAACTTCGTTCCGACGAAACTTTAGCGACACAAGTCCTTACTTAATAAAACTGGTTTATTCTTTCCGAATATAACTTTACGATACACTTAATTTCAACAATCGCGCTAAAACAAATGCTGTAACAACGAACGTGCTCAATAATACTCTCTGACTGCAGATCAATTACTCACTGTCTACACACACATTATTGGCCCGTCACGTTGTCACCCTCTTTTATATACCAGGCTACCCTATATCTAGTGAATGCTAGAGCATTCGCCAAGGTACAGGATAGTTCTAGAAACGTGGCGTGACACTAGTCATGTGACTTCGCTGATGCAACAATAGGTTTCATAGATTCGAATATTTTATAACTTTTAAATTAATTCACATAAAATCATTATTAATAAAATAAA